GGGAGCAGAACACAAACCAAATGGGAGTACTTTGAACTCGTAGAGTCCGTCAGGGGTCAAAAACGCCGTCTTTTCCCGATCTCGTTCGTCGACTTCTATTTGCCAGTACCCGCTCTTTAGATCCAACGATGAAAAAAAGTGAGCATTGCACAGTTTATCCAACGTATCGTCGACTCGTGGGAGTGGGTACACGTCTCGCTTCGTGACGAGGTTGAGTTTTCTGTAATCAACACAGAACCGCATGGTGTTGTCCTTCTTCACCAGTACTACCGGCGATGCCCATGGGCTTTTAGAGGGCTGTATGACATCGTCGTCGAGCATCTCCTGTACTTGCTTCTTTATCGCCTCCCTTTCTTTTGGAGCTACTCGGTACGGATGCTGACATACTGGTCTAACATGCCCTTCGATTACAATGCGGTGCTTTGCTACAGGCGTACGTTCGACTTTCGAAGAAGAGGAAAAACACTCTGCGAATTCCTTGATCAACTCCACAATCTGGTCTTTCTGCAGAGATGAAAGCTCTCGGTCAATATCTATTTTCTCGAGGACACTGTCCACTGTTGAGGGCGTTGTAGGTACTTTTTCTATGGTGCAAACATCTGAGACTTGTAAGTAGTCATGAAGTGATGCTATGGCTGCTCCCTTCGCCACATGCTGTACCTCGTTGGTAAAGTTAGTCAATAGCACATCAGTATATCCGTTCCGCAGGTTCACTAGACCTCTCGCAACGCGTATTCCCTTTGTGAGCAGCAGTTCGACATTTCCATCAGCTAGTCCGGCATATTCACGAAAAACGTCGCTTTTCACAGAAACTGTCACGCTGCTACGTGGCGGCACTGTCACACCTTCATCCACAATACGAAGAGACGAAACAATTGGTTGCTCCGCATGACACACGGCAACAGCGTTCTCTGTAGAGAAAGAAACTTGGGATTTCTGAAAGTCGATGATGGCACTGTTTGCTTGCAGAAAGTCCATGCCCAGAATTGCCTCACGGGAACATTCAGGGAGAACAATAAAACTGCAGACGTACACATGGCCTCTTATTCCCACTCTCGCTGTGCACAATCCTACGGGGCTGACTAAGTGCCCGCCGGCGGTGCGTATCTGCGATCCGGTCCAATGAGTGAGCACTTTCTTCAGCTTCTTTGCGAGCATGCTACTTATTACTGAGTAATCTGCACCTGTGTCTATTAACGCTATGGTTTCGACGTCGTCTATTCTGACTTGTAGCTCGGATGTCACGTCACCATTACTGCGCTTGTCCGTCGTTGTGTCAGTGTCGTTGTCTGATCCGGTTAGCGATGGAGGGTTTTCAGTTTTTCGAAAATCAACGGCCCTGCCTCCACAGGTCGCCGGTTCTAGTTTTCCCGTCGCGGGCTTGGTGAACGACGCCTCGGGAAAGTAGATGATGGGTGTGGACTCGGCGACCTATTGCGCATTGGTGCAATCGACCGCGATTCATGTCGCTGAGTGTTTGGATAGGCATAGCGCGAAGATAAATATTCTTCGATTTCGTAAGGGCGCTCACCGTTACGAGGGCAGGGCGCATTCACTGGGAAGCCACGTAGCCCGACCTGACGGTAGTGGCATGTCCGATAAAGATGACCTGCCTCCCCACAGTGGTAGCAGAGGGGCCGCCGGTCTGCCGTGCGCCATACATCACTTTTGCGGGGTCTTGCTTCGGGCATCGGCGCTGCAGTACTGCGAGGAAAGGTCGGTGGCATAACGGGAGCTTGTGCAAAGCTCGGGCGTCTCATGTCTTACCGTACGACTTGCGCGTACGACAGCTGTGGCTGAGGTTCCGGTTGCGTGTAGTGTGGCACCTGAGGCTGCGGTTGAATAATTGCTTGCCGCACTTCTTCACGCACAACGTCCGCGATTGAGGGCATCGCTGAAGGACTTTGAGGAAGTTGCAGTTTCTGGAGCTCCTCCTTAACAATAGCCCTCACCATTTCCCGGAGGACGTCAACGTTGGTGGGGAGGGTTGTTGACTCCGCCCTGACTGAAGAGACGCTGAAGCCTCTGTTGTACAGTCGCGCACGTTGTTGTAGTGTCCTTTCCATGGTCGTTGCCTCGGACCGGAACTCCGTCACAGTTCGCGGTGGATTACGCACCAGGCCTGCAAAAATTTCTTCCTTTACTCCGCGCATTAGGTGCCGCAACTTCTCCTCGGCCATGTTTTGGTCGGCTCGGCGGAAGAGCCGTGACATGTCTTCTATGTACATGGCCACGCTCTCGTTATTCCGCTGGTTCCTCGCCTGAAGAGCAGCCTCTGCCTTCTCTTTGCGGTCCGCGTTCGGATAGGTTGCGATTAGCTCTCGTCGGAAGTCGTCCCATGACAGCAAGGACGCTTCGTGGTTCTCAAACCACGTACGTGCCGAATCTTGCAGGGCGACGTAAACGTAACGAAGTTTTCGGGCTTCGTCCCAACCATTCAAACGTGCAACGCGCTCGAAGCCTTCAAGCCAGTCCTCGGCGTCTTCAAAGGTCTCACCGTGGAAGACCTCTGGTGTACGTGGCGAATCCACGATGAGGTGAGATGGAGATGGCATCGACTGGGTGGCCATCGCAGTGACGCTTGTGCTTGAGGTCTCGACAGGTCTTGACGAGTCAATTAGGGGGCCAAACTCGGGCTGCTCACCACGTAGTCGGCGACTCGTGCGTTGGTGCACAGGTGTCAATTCTGCTGGCTCTAATCTTCTGGGATCTGGGCTTCTCCTTGCCTGTGGTGGGCTTGGAATCATACCCAGCACCTCCACCAGATTGTTACGAATAAGTATAGCACCTGGTACTATATAAACTCTTTATTTAGGGCAAACTTGTGCCCGTAAACTCGAAGCTAAAAATGGTCAGCCAAAAAAATGTCTGTGCCCGCTGACTCTAACTTCGTCGGTCTCTTCTTCTGCCCCTCGAGTCTCGTGCCAGTCCCATGGCGTAGCATCGTGGCGCGTGCAGGACGGTGTTCCATGGCGCGGCTTTCTTGCTACTTGCTTGACGGCTTTTACGAACGTGAATTGTGGTACGCGTCTTCTGCGATGGTCGAGCTGTGTCAATATAAACACGAGTGTGCGCCCACATTTTCTTGCTCTTCAGAAAATGCTGTTTGTCAACTATGATGTATGCAACGATAAATTCAATGCACTATTTTGCCAACAGCATGAGAGACACAAGTGCACCAGTGGCCAACTGGGTAAAGCATTGGGCTTTCTGACCGAGTCCTACCATTACACATACTTCTTTTTAGGATCTAGCCTTGTCTTCCATTGTGGTCACGGTACAGAATCTTTGCTTTGTCGAAAGATACGCGAGACACAAAAAAGTTTTACCATAGACTTCAACATAGAAATAGGCTAATTCTGACTTAATAGATAGCTCTTCCTGATGAAAATAACCTGACGAGAATAGTATTGATGATTTGATCTCTGCTAAATGGTGCCTAGATGTTGATATTTCTAAAAAAAAAATGTGCAACACAAAGGCAAACATCAAGCACTCTATGTACCAACAAATTATACATATTAAAATGGTATTTTACTAGCAGTAAGAAGGCGGGTTTTTGAATTCACTTTTGAGGCGTATTCTCCCCTCCAGGAATTATCTAAATACGACTCAAAGGTAAAATAAATTTACATTTCTATAAACACTTAGTCATTAAACTTGTATTATATGGGGCAATGCTTGGATGACGTACAGTTACTCACTCATACAATACCTATAGCTGCCTACTAAATAGTGCTTATGATACGAAAAAATGCTTTTCAATAAATGAACTCTCGAACAAGACAAAGACAACAGCGGAGAAAAAAAAGTACCTTCTCACCTACATCAAAACTTACTTTTTTCAACCTCAAGCACTGGCAATGTCTCAAGTACCCAAGTTCAAAGTACCTCAACATTTAATTTTAATCAGGAAGCCACTGTAAACTCAAGTTCAGGAAATTAAAGGTAGTATAACTTTAATCATTACAGATTTCCTGCTACAAAAAATGCTCCCGTTTTTTTAGATAGAGGCAACTCCTACAGCTTCTGTCACAGATTGACAATGCTTCAGAATGCAACACCAATACTAGAATTATGTTACAAATAAAATACCCCGCTCTGATGCACACACCCTCATGCCTTCAACATAGCGTACTGGCCCTACAGCCACACCTAAGATTTCTCTCTCTTCAGTGCAACTGTATACTCTTCAACAACTTCAATATAAATTGTAGTACTCATTCTAGAACACAAATTGCAAATAAATTAAGTGACCTAGACTAAATTGAGCATCAAGCAACAACACACACAAAATGCTTGAATGAACAAGGTGGTTTTTAAAACTATATACTAGGGATATACATTTACAAACCACATTAAAAGTTACAGCCAAGCCTAGATTGGCAAGCACATAGTCAAGGCACATCCTGTTTCTGGTAAGCCAACTTCTCTGCATTGTGTCAAGAATGGAAACAGGCATCATTCTCTTGGCTCAACTGCCAACCACACCTTGCTTCCAAAATAAACGTAAAGGTAACATCATGTGGAGACACTCACTCATCACCTGTACTTAAAGAAAGCAACAATTTTACACAATACACATTTACGAAACACCATCTATTGCACAGGACACCTACAGCACCAGTTATTCATCTTGGCCTTACTGTACTTCCAACACAAATTGAGAGGCAGCATGCTTATGCTTGCCCTTGACTATCTCTTCAGCTAATTTGAGGCACCTCAGAGGAATGGACTCTAAGGCCCTACGTGTCTCATGAGTCGAGACTCTTTGTGCGATTTGACAAGACCGCAAGACCTGAGCAAAACGTCGCATGACCAGTCTCCCAGTCCTCGCATGGTGGACTGGGAGACTTCACATCTATTTATGACACCAAATGCCTTAAATAAAATAAAAATATACACAGTCATATCTTTGCTTTCTTTTTTCCTCCCAGAGTGAAAAGCTGCACCGACTGTCTCCATCAGTAGGCGCAGCTGATAACAAACAACACGTGATAGGCCTGGCATGGTTTTTTTATTATTTGTTTAAAATTAAGTGCTCTTCACTCACAACAATGCCACAGCAGTGCCACTCATAGAGAGAGGCAAACATCTTGGCTGTTGTACACACATTTACCCATAAGAAGTCGCAACTTAATGACTGCAAAGAGAGCAGACTGTTTGCCCAGCAGGGCTGTCGAGTTTTCTGTTAAACTGTGAGGTCAAGAAATCATTACTGCAAAGACTGCTTCTGTAGAGTGGCTACATCTAATGAGAAAAAAAATGAAACTGATGCACTTGGGCAGCTACAAATTTTTTACCGGTGCGATGCCACTTCTGAACTAGATTTGGGCCATTGAAATCGGAATCGTTATACAATGTTTATGTCTGAGACATCAATGCGTTTTGTGTGCATACACATGCGAATCGATTCAAAATTGGAATCCCTACTGTCTAGCAGCCATAGGGCTTACTTTTATATCTTGTGCTGCTCCTTGTTCACTCGGCAAATTAAACATGCCTTTTGGTGGTTCTCTAGCATACAAAAGTACCCAATGGCACGCAACAAGCTTTCGGCAAAGACGTATCACACATACTTCAGCTGTCTAAATAAAGTAACGCAGCAGATGCACAGAAAACAAAAACCATCAGTTCGTGTCACACCGCACAAGCGTATCAGCCTGTAGACGTGGTGTCACATTATGGCAACTTTGTGAAGCGCATGAAGCTGCCCCATAACATAACGGCAAAATTTTGTGACTAAAATAAGTATTAAAGGACCTTGTTCCACCCAATGCAAATGGAGCTGCCCTCCATTTCGCCTTCATTGTTACTCAGGCTCCCTTTGCCTGCAAATTATCATGGTGCTCTTCGACACATGTGCTTAAAAAGTTTTTCCAATACGACCAACGTAAAAACTGAAATATACAAGAAGTATGACTGAGGTGACAAGAGATATCGCTGAAATTTAATTTATGAACTACCAGAAATAATTTGACCTTTCCAAAAAAATTTTTAACAGGGCCTCTTGAGCACAAAGATGAGCTGCTACTCTAGACATGAACCAAGTGTGAGAAAAAGCATAGTCGCTTGAAAACTACCTTAAAGAAGGTGAACAATTAATAAAAAGGCCAGCTTTTGTGTGCTAACCACTTCAAGCCAACGAAAACCTCAAGAAAAAGACTTGCAGGTTTAGAAATTATAAGATAGAGGGAGTGAAAGCAGAAGAAGAAAGAATCAGCAAGCAGTGGGAGACAAGCTGACAATCTTTCAACTACTGATACAATACACTACAAGTTATGCTAATGAGGTTACTCCTCAGCAATTTCAATTCTTGAGTACGTCCAAAGCTCACTTTTCCCTCCTCAGTGCTCTTCTGGCATGTAATTAGTAGAAGATATTTCAATATCACCAAAACAAAGCGTGCCATTGCTCTGTGCAATGTGGAACTTCGCTTTTGTAGCTTGCCATCAATTTTGCTCATAAGCCAAGAAAATACCACTGAACTGTGCAAGAAATAACTACCTGGTATGCTAGTTGGGCATGAATGTGTATAAATAGGAGAACATTTTTTCATGTGATAACTGCATACCTGTTTCCATTACATTAACAAATGGCATGAGTGTAACTCTACATTCGAACTTCCCCAGGTATGACCACACTTAAAGGTAATGAACAATATAGACACACATTAAACAATACCCGGACGTGCAAATGATATCGTAGATATCCCTTTACACAGACATACACATTAAATAGTAGAACTGTTTAAAGAAAACTCCTAAAGAAGTTATAAAAAGGTCTTGCACATTTTATCAAAACATGCCCACCAATATCACCTTTCAAAATAACACAAATAAACCACTGCTTTCTAGAAGTATTACCTGCAGTGACAGTATCATAGTGCCAGCAATTGAAGCTAACCAAAATAAGCGCAAGATAGCTAAGGAATATGCACAGTCTAGGTAAAAAGTTTCGAGACCACGCTTCCATAGAAATAAATGGGATTTGGGAACTGGCCTGGGAACTTTTGATTGATATATGGGGTTTAACGTCCCAAAACCACTATATGATTATGAGAGACGCCGTAGTGGAGGGCTTCGGAAATTTCGACCACCTCGGGTTCTTTAACGTGCACCCAAATCTGAGTACACAGGCCTACAACATTTCCGCCTCCATCAGAAATGCAGCTGCCGCAGCCGGGATTCGATCCCGCGACCTGCGGGTCAGCAGCCGAGTACCTTAGCCACTAGACCACCGCGGCGGGGCGGCCTGGAAACTTTTGACCTTCCCTGTACACATTGTCAAAAGTTGCAAGTACTTGCATTGCAAAATGATTAGAGCTGGTTCTTCACAGTGTTTTGCCACACTTTGCTACAACACATGCCGTCAATAGGACCATACCTAATAAGACCCCTCGCAACTCAGATGATCATGTGTTTAGTTCCACTGTGCCTTCAGTGACCTTTCCATCAATATGCCCTTTTCTCAAGTTTTAATGTATTGCAACAAGTGCTTTGAACCTTTCCAGTGGGTCACAAATATGCTACACACAATATCACAATAAGTGGTAGTAACCAATCAGCATAACTTATTTTCATGTAAAATCAAAAATGTGTCGCTAACCATATTGTGCTTAGTTCCCTCTAAACTACACAGCAACCACATCTCCAAGTGACAGGTGCTGGTGAAAATAATATTCGAACTGGTGAAACTTATTGTTACACATGCCCAATTTGAAAAAGTACTTTTAGCAGTGCTCTAAGAAAAAAACGACTTAAGGGAAACTATAAACTCAATAGCAAGTCCTTCTTGGTGGTTTCTTCGACACTATTGAGAAGAGCCATGAATACATGTGTCTCCTTAGTCCACTGCAACACAATGCATTAGTACTTGTGCAACCTTATGCGACAAACCGCAAAAATTTTAGAGCTTCTACACGTGGGAATGAACATTAACGTGGACCATCCATCAAACATGCTTGAAAGTTTTGGTTAGCATGTACTTCCCTTCCACAGCTGGGACTCACTAAAGTAATCAGTAGCAGACTGATACATAATTTCTTAGTGACCAGTTTTACGACTGCAACACGAGCTTCCACAGCATCATGTCAGTTGAATAGTTAGCTAATAAAACCTCCAGTGTAAAGAATAACACATCTTCCCAAGAAAAAAAAATGCCCTACACTTGCACATCGCTGAACTAATTACGTTGTTTGCTGTGTAAAAAGTTTCCCCAAAAAGGATATTGGGTGACATGGCCCTCACTTCTTCGTTGACCTCACATCAAAAATCTGCGAAGGACAACACTATATCCCCAAGTGTACAACCTAGGCAAAAGACGCTGATTCACAACACCTATTGTAGAGCTGACAAGCCTCTTGACAGAGCCATGAGCCGGTGCTCAAATTGCATGGCCTCCATAGTTGCCTGTAAGACGGCTTCAAAAAGTGGAAGAAACGTACCTACACTTACATGAGATGACTAGATTTTTTCCAAGCTGAGGGGTCACCGTTCACATTTGAAACCTTTTTGATTTGTTTACTATGCCATAAAGCCCTTTTTTAAAACAAAATATAGGAGCAATGAAGAGAAATAATTCCTGATATCACTGAAACACTGATCTACAAATGGTTCATTATTATTAAGTGGGAAAGTTTTAAGCACAGCAGAGAGGCTGCGATTGAAGGAACACCTGTACCACTTGGAGCACAGAGCACAGCTCATCACCATGGGCATAAAAACACACAAGCTGATGGTATCCCTCTGGGCTAAAGTAGACCGATCTGAAAGGCATTACAATTTTACACAGCAAGTGAAAGCAACAGCCTCTATGAGGATATATTGGGAGAAAATGGCACATGGGTAAGATTGTAGTTCTGTCAAGTCATGCATCAGTAGTTTGGTGGGCAGAACACTATACTGCTGTGCAAGAGGACCCAGCTTTGAAACTGACCACTGAACATGAAACCTTCAGTACAGAATGAAAAGGGTGGCTGTGGTCATCTGTTAATTGGAGATGTGAAAAACCAAGCACCTATCATATCCAGGGTGTGCTCACCTAAGACATACGATGAGCACACCTTAGGTTAGGAGAAGAGCTGCTGGAATGGAAATGCTGAGCCAACATTCACAGGGTCTCGATTGGCTGTGAAAGGTGGCTCTCCATCATTTAGCAATGACACCAAAACAAAAGACACCAAAAGATACGAAAACAAAAATAACCTCATCTCAACAATTGTGCGAACAATGCTTGTAAATTGTGCGAACCAATTTGCGGCTACATCACAAGTGATTAGAACAGTGGCTTAGCAAGTCTCCTCCACTAAAGAGCACAAATGAGTGCATAGGGGGCCCACATGCTCTAGCTTGTATATAATCTGCAGCAAGTGCAGAGGCCTGAATAAACCGAGATGGCTGGTCACTTCCTTCTTTTGCAGGTAATCTGCTGCCTGCTACAGTGAATAAAGTGCAGCAGGCAAAGCAGTACTTACGGTCCAATTGAAATAAGAGCATACCTGTCAACCTGGCAACAGAGAAATTAGTAAAACCCTCAAGCGGGGAAGGGGGCGGAGCGGGATACAGACTTTTTTAAATTTATAGCTGGGATGGATTTTGCTTTAGCAAGAAGCATATTCATGTTTATCTGCCATAAATCAAATCGACGCGCCGAATTATTTTTCCCCATTTTCGGCACTAAAAGAAAAGAAAAAAAAAACATCGCGAAAAACAAGAGGGTGGGGTCCTAAACGACTACCTACGGCAATGCACCGTAGTTAGTCTAGGTAAAATCGTAACGTCGGTCGAAATTTGCACATTTTACAGAAAAATCGGAAGAGCTGGCAGGTATGTAAGGGCCACTTTTCTTTAAGTTACATGAGCTGATACAGCACGCTTTCACCCTGTTTGCTTCTAGAAACGTCATTAGAGCCTAGTAATTTCATCTCTAGAACAAGCAACCTGAACATATGCAGAATTTCATGGCCAGCATCGGTGGGATAATACAGTATTTACAGGCATGATCATGACTTATGTACAATGGGAGGCTTCATTAATACAGCTCGGACTACTTGCCAAGACCAGCCCCGGCAAACTGTGAAAAGGCTTTGACCTGTAAAGCAGCCTACAGTCAGTAGGTGCCAAATTCCAACTTTAATACCAACTCGGCACTAATTAGTGACATCAAGACTTTGCAACCAGAGCTTCCTGGCACTAACTAGTGACATCAGACTTTGCAACCAGAGCTTCCCGGCACTAATTAGTGACATCAGACTTTGCAACCAGAGCTTCCATTTTGTTTCTCCCCAAGCTCATAGTCCAGTGGCACCTACTAAGACCTTAGACTTGCATCGCAGTTCTTGCTGTCACAACTCCACCTTAGGCCTGTAGTACAGCTTCAGTGGAGGCTCCTGCACACATTCGGCATAATAAGCACAATTACTAATGCCATCAAGGATGCTCAAGGAATGGGAATTGCTCAGACACCATCTGCAACACAAAAACCTCAATTAAAATCGCAAATGCAATGAACATCTTGAGCTCACAAAATGCCTCAATCACTCAAACATTGCATGAAAAACTTTCAGTTTACATGCAATGATTAGAACATTATCTGTTGTCATAAGTTTGACATACAAGGGTAAGATTCTTTATGTGCAACAGCTTGAATATAATGGCTGTGCATCATTGTGAAAGTGAAATTAAACACACCCAAGGAGAGCCCTGAATGATTTATGGGCATATACTATCCAAAAAGTCTATGGTAGATAAAATATGAAAATAAAAAATGCTGCCTATTACTGGGGACTAAAGTTGGCACTGCTTGTAATGTGTACTGTATGATATAGTTCAGCTTAGAGGGATGTTTCTCATCAATGCTTACATGTAAACAAGACAGGAAATGCATTAAATACCTTTCACCATGTCTCTTGATTGATGATTATTATGTGGTGTTTAAAGTCCCAAAACCACCATATGATTATAATATACACCGTAGTGGAGGGCTCCAGAAATTTCAACCACCTGAGGTTCTTTAATGTGCACCCAAATCTGAGCACACAGGCCTACAACATTTCCGCCTCCATTAGAAATGCAGCCGCCGCAGCCGGGATTCGATCCCACGACCTGCGGGTCAGCAGCCGAGTACCTTAGCCACTAGACTACTGTTCAAAGCACTTCAGTCTACTGTTCAGCCACTAGACTACTGTTCAAAGCACTACTAGTCTGTTCAAAGCACTTCAAGTGCTGATTCCAACTGAAAAATATGTTAGCTTTGGACATTAACGAATTATCAAGTACCTAGTTCCTGTAACACTCCTGCCACTTTGTACCACTTCGTAGCTACCACTACACTAGGTACTCTATCTTGCTGTTCATTCATATACAGTAAGCTACAATAGTTTGCCAGCCTGTGAAGAACCTAACAAGCTGCAAAGGTAACAAATGCAGCTAACTGAGCCTGTTTGTTAACAGGCTGCACTTTTTCTTTTCCACGCTGATATCTAGTGGCATCAATTAGGGGAGAAAGGTAACTGCACGTGTGTTGAAATGGGTTCATGTTGCAGAGGTCGGAATTCATCCCACGAGATTCGCAGCGAAAGCCAAGTGACTCGGGTGCTGCGCTGCTCAAGTTGAAGACGAGAGTTTAATTCCCAGCCACGGAGGCAGCATTTCGATGGCGGTGAAATGCATAAAGACCCACGAACTTTTACTTAGGTGCATGTAAAGGAACCTCCAGACGGCAAAAATTATTCTGGAGTCACCTACTACAACATGCCTCATAATTATATCCTTGTTATGGCATGCAACATCCTCGCAACTTGATTCAAAGTTCTGCATGTATGTTCATCTAATATTAATGATATACCTTCAATACAATCCTGCAAAAAAAAAAACACGTACAACAGTGGAGAAGATGATGTTGTCCGTGTTTTCTTTGTTGCTGCTGTTCTAGTGCAATCGTACTGGATCCCCAACTATCCCAGACTACTGCTCTCATTGATTATATGCAGGGCACCCTAGCTATCTTTAGCCAGAAATTAAAAATATGCAAACACACTGAATGATGATGCCACCAAATTCAAGTTGCTGAATAATGCCGTGTACATTGCATTATTTTTTGTGTATCGATTACTTGCTTACTTAGGCCACTTTATTTAACTAACTTTCGAAGCAATGAAGCTATGCCGAAAATTCTGATAAGAACGTTGTAGATCATCTAGCAAAACATCCAATTAGAAAGTTTTCATCTTTCTATCAGATATGAGTGTTCTTCCGCTAACTACAGATGCCCGCAATAAAACAAAAAGTACCACAGAACGTGCCCGCTTGTGCGCCTGTGTATGTGATGATTTTAGTGCTCCCTAACGTTTCATATGCCAACGACCATAGCATTTGCCCAGAGATGCTGTCTCGACAGGACATAGACTATGGTGGTAGCTGTGCGATGAACGCGTTTCACTAGTGGCAACGGAAATGATGATCACTGCGTCTGATGATCGCGGTCATGAACCAGCATGCAGAAAGCATATCATTAGTGCGTAGTTTAAGGGAGCACTGCATTCATGGTGCACATAGGCCAAAGGCGTAGGATTTTGGGGGGGGGGGGGGGCACCTCTTAGATCTTAAAAAGGGGTCAGCCAGACAGATGTGGTCGACCGCCATTCTGTGCTCTATATATGCTATGGCTACAATAATTTCGGGAAGCAGGGCACATGTTTGATGCACCGCCCCCTGGCTACGCCACTGGCATAGCAGATAAGCAGGCATGTCCCGATTTTTTTTTCCCGCGAGCATCTGCATCAAGTAGAAAAACACTAATACTTGATGGATAGAAAGTTAGAAACTGTCTTATCGAATGTTTAGCAACCCGATCTACAGTTTTTCCATGAAATTTTCTGCCCAGCTTACTTGCTTCAAAAGTTATCTAATTAAAGTGACCTAACTGAGAACTTCTTCCGAACTCAAGAAATAGTCCGACTTACTCCAGGCACCGATCAGCAACTTGCATTTGGTCACGCTGTCATTGGGTGCATCGGAATATTTTTAAACTCTGGCTAGCAAGAGCTGGGGCACCCTGTATGCTCAAGAAGCAGGTACATTCATGAAGAAGCAATTTGTGGCATTTCACTAGTATCAAACTGCTTCAGAAAACTGCAAGTGTAGCGACGATTTGTACGGATAAATTTGCACAACTTGCAGTAGAATCCGTACATGTTGGATCTTGCTGAGAATGGTTATTTTGTTAAACCTTCTCACACCCAAGAAGGCAATTACAGGTCAATTTATTTCAAACTTTTTGATTTTGCTCTCAAGCTTACAAGAATACCGAAAAAAATTCATTTCCGAAGAATTAAAAAAAAAGAAAAGCTGGTGAAAGTTATTTATTCGTTGCCAATTGATTTTAATTATTAAAATATATCTAATGAAGTTTCACAGCTGTTAACTGCGATTTAAAACACAGATTATGCATGAAAATCAATTACAAGTTCATTGGAGGCCATTGAGCAGAGCTGTCGTACATAATCGATGAAAATAAACTTTGGGAAATTGCATTTACACACTGCAAGGACAAAAAAATAAATAATGTTTCTGGGAAACGCCATTTTCAAACTCGCCATGCGTCACAGATACTAGACATAAAGTGCCATCTCGTTCTGTTTAAGTAATGGCTCCCATGCGACAAATTCAGGTTGAAGGTAAAAAAGTACTTTCTTCAGAATAAACTATGCTCGCTCGAAGTGATGGCCCCAATGAATTATTAATTGCTGGGGTTTAATGTCCCAAAACTATCATATGATTATGAGAGCACCGTAGTCGAGGGCTACAAAAATATCATCCACCTGGAGTTTTTTAACGTGGACTAAATGTCACTACCCGGGCATCAAGTATTTTCACCACTATTGAAAATGCGGCTGCTGTGGCCGGGATTCAATCCCGCAATGGGGCAATAGCCTCAATCGGGGTCACAGGGACTCAAGGGGTTGACCCTTTTACAACTGCTGACGAATATAACAGTCATGAAATTTTCTACCAAAATGACCAATTGACTATACTTGGCCTCAACAAAAATTGATCCCATATGGAACCAATGAAGACTACACCAGTCCCAAATGTTTTTTAATGTGAGATGTTCCCAATGGTCCTTGTTTATTCAATACAGTTTATTCCTCCTCCTGTGTTTCGAATTTCATTACATTGCCTACTCTGATACTTCACACATGGTACCATATTATGCAATCAGGGATACAAAGAAACATTATTTCATTGAAATAGTGGTGCTATACTATTTAGGGGCAAAAAAATCTGTAGAAAAAATGGGGCTAAAAAATTTTTCTGGTAATCGTTGCCTGTTTTTTTTTTTTTTCCATTCACTAAAGGGTTCACTAATGTTTTCGAAAAGTAACACTTCAGTTGAGATTAAATACCTCATAATGTTTATGATTTGAAGTATTACACCCAATTTTTATTCCTTCCTTCCAAATATTCTAAAAAGATGGATTACCCGCATTGACCTGCTCTGTATTCAGTACTCACACAACAGCAAGTACAACCACACCCCTCAAGGATTTTAATGCTAAGAAAAAAAAAACAATTATATAATTCGTGGGGTTTCACCTCCAGAACCCCAATATGATTATGAGGAACGCCGTACTGGAAGGCTCCGGAAATTTTGACCATGTGGTGTTTTTTAGCGTGCACTGACGCCATATAGCACACAAGCCTCTACCATTTCGCCTGCATCAAAATGCGACCACCGCGGCCGGGCTTAACCCCGTGATCTTCAGTTCAGCAACCGAGCACCGTAGGAGTGTCTTGACCACAGGAATACGCACCCATGCAGAAGAATTTATATTTGAACCTGATGAAGGCGTGGTACCAGTGGTGCAAAAAGAATAGAAAAGGAGAACACTTTTTATGAAAGCGTCATTAAATTTTATGGCAGTAAAATCAAAGCCCTCCACAGAACATCATATAGAGCCGAAATGGAGCATTATACACATACGAAAAATCACTTTTCTGCGAAAAAGTGTTGCCAAGCATGTGTTTCAATGGTAATGCAATGCACCTTCCGATATGGGAGTTACAAATTTTGACAAATGTTAGAAGTGAAAGACAACATTCCAAGGCCACCTGAAAACTATTCTAAGGAGGGCAGCACCTACAATAAAAATGTACCCTTATCCATCACTTATACAACTCCCAAAGATGATTGTGTGTGTATTTTTTCTTTTACAATATATTTGATTGAACACCAGTACGGCGATCCTTATAATATTTTTTTCTTTTCCACAGTGCTATTATAATGAAGCAACTATTCCTCAGATACACATGAACAAATAAAGCATGATTATATGCCAGCATGGCAATAAATACCTACACTAGTGAATTCTATAGGCTCGAATTCCCT